TGGACCAGGGCTCGAACCTGTATCCCCTGCATTGGCAGGCGGGTTCTTAACCACTGTGCTACCAGGGAAGCAGGTTTTGGGTTTTGAGTTTTTCTGTTTGGAAGATGTCTTTTGGGTGAGTAACCTCCTTAAAGAAATGCACCTGTGCCTGTTGCCAAAAACCTTGGTTCCCTGTGCACCAGTGCCAAATAGAAATACGGAGACAGAGATTTGGAGGAAAAGAAATAGAGAGGCTTTTATTTCTCTGCCAAGCAAAGGAGAGACACGGCATGCTGGCATCTCAAGGACTGTGCCCCTGCTCCTCGGGGAATCAGAGAAGATTTTACATGTGGGGCTTGCAGTCCGGCCTATATGATAAGGATCAAAAGTAGTGAAGGTCTTGCATTCTTCTTCTTCCTGCATTATTTCAAAACAGTCACAGCTGGCGTCAGGCTGCCTGGTAATTGGGTTGTTGGGTCCGTTTGTCTCTTGGTTATTGGCCTGTGACCTTCCTTCTGAAATGCAGATGCTACAAGGGAGTGCAGGATGTCATTCACATAGTGTTAAAGAGTGATAGGTTAGCTTCCTAAAGTACAAATCTAGTTACAGACACTACAGATCAGTAACAGTTAAAACTAGGAGTGATTGGGCTTCCCTGGTGGCGCAGTGGTTGAGAGTCCGCCTGCCGATGTAGGGGACATGGGTTCGTGCCCTGGTCCGGGAGGATCCCACGTGCCGCGGAGCGGCTGGGCCCGTGAGCCATGGCCACTGGGCCTGCGCGTCCGGAGCCTGTGCTCCACAACGGGAGAGGCCAGAACAGTGAGAGGCCCATGTAACGCAAAAAAATACCAAAAAACAAAACAAACAAACAAAAAACTAGGAGTGATTAACTCTTTCAGGCCAGGTTATGTTTCTTCTCTAGCCTGTTCACTGTTCCCTTTATTTTTCTTGTTCTCAGGAGAGGGAAAACTTCATTTCTATTTTTGCTGCAACATGCCTAGATTGTTTGCCAATCCTGTCCAGATTGTGGGTTGGAGGCCCACCTGGCAGGATTTTTAAACCTGATTGATTAAACCATTAGCCACTGGTGATTGATTCAGCCACCAGCTCCTCTCCTTTCCCTGAAAGTTGGGAGGTGGAGTTGCAAGTTTCAACCCTCTGGTTCCCCTGGCAACCAGCGCCCAACCATTGGTTATCTAGGGGCTTTCCAAAATCACCTCATTAACATAGACTCAGGTGTGGTTGAAAGAGGTTTGTTATGAATAATGGGAGACATCCTTTCACCTGGAGTTATTTCAGGAACTGGGAACAAAAACTAACTAAAGATGCCCCTGTAGCTTCTGTCACTCAGGAAATAAGGGTTTTAGGAGCCTTGTGCCAGAAACCGTGGATGAAGACCAGTGTTTGTTGCTGTATCACAACCCACAAGGCCCTGCGGTCTCCTCCTCCCTCAGCCTCTCGTGCCTGTGCCCTCTCCCTCTCCTCCGCATCTCTGGTGCAGTCACCCCAAGGCAGGCTGGGCTGGAAGGGCATGTGCCTCCTCCCCTCCGTGAGGCTGGCCTGCACCCCCAGGGGACACCGGCAAGTTGTGGATGGATGTTTGTGTCCAGATTGAGATCATCGTGGACCCCTGAGGATTAGGGGCTGCGAAGACCAGCCTTAAGAAATGATAGTATTTGTCACACAGGTGCTGATAACAAGCGTCCCCTGCACAAGTTTCTGGGGGTCAGCGCAGCAGGCCTGTGGGAGAGACTCAGCCTATACTTTTTCTGTCCTCTGTGGCTGCTTTCACACAGAGTTGAGGGGCTTCAGTAGAGACCCTGTGACCCACCAAGCCCTCAATATTTACCGACTGGCCAGGAAAGGGAGAAAGCTTGCCAGGCCCTGTCCTGCACAATTTGTTTCCCTTATCATAAGGAATTCATTTAGATCTAAATGCCGACAGCGTCACCTGGGAAAGTGCCTTGCTTTTTCCTTATGAAAGATGCAAATCCTGTGATGGATCCTGTTTTCTTTTGTGCTTTGCCTTCCAGCAAGCCCTTAGTCAGATGCATTGCTCAATACTTAATAATTACCTGGCCTTCATTGCCCATTCCTAACGTTCATCGTGTATTTCTTTTTTTTAAATCAATTTTATTTATTTATTTATTTTTGGTTGCATTGGGTCTTCATTGCTGCACGCAGGCTTTCTGTAGTTGCGGCGAGTGGGGGCTACTCTTCGTTGCCGTGCACGGGCTTCTCATTGCAGTGGCTTCTCTTGTGGAGCACAGGCTTTAGGCACACGGGCTTCAGTAGTTGTGGCACACAGGCTCAGTAGTTGCGAGCTCAGTAGTTGTGGCACACTAAGCTCACGGGCTTAGTTGCTCTGCGGCATGTGAGATCTTCCCAGACCAGAGATCGAACCCGTGTCCCCTGCACTGGCAGGTAGATCTTCAACCACTGCGCCACCAGGGAATTCCCTCATCGTGTGTTTCTTATTTTACTTTCTGTGTTCTGAGCACTGTTCTGCTGAGCTGTGAGAAACAAATGTCTAAAAAGTTTGTTTCATGTTCCCACTGTCCACTGGGGTAGCCCAGCACGTAACACACATCTTCTTCCAGAAAATGCACCCTTATTGTTTCTTTAGTCCTGACAGAATATTTTAGGAGTCTCTAAATACTAACCCAGACCACTTGGACGATTTCTACTTTACTTTTTTTTCATTTTGTTTCCAAGATGTTAATAGTCATAATTTTGATTACACAGATAATTTTTTGGTGGGGTGTGTGTGTGTGTTTGTTTTTTGGTTTTTTTGTTGCTTTTCTCTAGAGTTTTATGAGTTCTGTTATTAGTGATCACCTTTCACAGGGCAAAGAATCCACAACTCATAAGCTAAGCAAGACTTGGGCTGTTTGAGGAGAGCAGTGCTGGTGGCGGCAACTCTGCAGATGTTTGAATTGAGGTCCTACGAAGAGTTCAATCACAGTAAACCTGATGCCATCAAAACGTTGTGTAAAATGAAAAATTTGTTCATTTCTTACCTCCACTGGGTTTTAGAAAGTAAGGTTTCATTGTAGAACTTTGTTGGTTTGTTTTTCTTTTACTATTTATTTATTTATTGGCTGCGTTGGGTCTTGGTTGCGGTGCGTAGGATCTTTCGTTGCAGCACACGGGCTCTTTGTTGTGGTGCATGGGCTCCAGAGCGCGCAGGCTCTGTAGTTGCCTCACGCAGCCTCTCTGGTTGTGGCACGTGGGCTTAGTTGCCCCACGGCATGTGGGATCTTAGTTCCCTGACCAGAAATTGAACTGGTGTCCCCCGCATTGCTAGGCAGATTCTTAACCACTGGACCACCAGGGAAGTCCCCCTGTTGTTGGTTTTTGTTATCAGTAATTTCAGGAGTGAAATGAACTTCATGTCTCTAAAAAAGTAGTCCTCTTTCTGGTTTAGAGAGTGTTTGCTGTAAATGTAATGTTAAAAATAAATGTGGATATTTGCTTTACATTGACCAAGGGGGACCAGTATTCATGCTGCTGGTGCCCCTTGGGAGGGGCTGCATGGAACCTCCACAACCTGCAGGGTGTCTTCACAGGCCCCTGAAATCTTGTTCCTCTGTCCAAGAGGGTTTCCATGAATGTGTATTGACCCTGTGGGTTGAGATGGCCTGGGACAGTTTGTCTTTTTCATCTTAAAAAAAGACCCACTTAAAATGAATCAGACATTTCAGACTCTTTAGGGACAATGATACACAAAAGTCATTGCTGGATGCCTGCCTCAGACCCCACCTGGCCTTCCTGGAAAGGCACTCTCAGAGCCAGGCATCATTCACATGCCACCCTCTGCCCCAGAAGATGCCAGTGGCACCTGTGCCAGCCTTTATGCCTTCTGAGCCTGTTGTGTAGCTGGCAGGGCCTGACCCATGGCCTCGGACCCATTGCATAAGTCAAGCCCAGGAGATTCCCCCCCCGCACCCCCACCAGCGGTTTTGCATATCAGAATCCACCCCATCTCTGCCCGGTGATGGGACCCGGACAGTGGTGGAGGTGCCCTGGTGGGGAACAACCCTCACCAGCCCTGCCCTTGTGGGCCATCCTCTGTGGATACAGGAAGCAAGAGGTCTTCAGACATTTGTTGGCAATTTGACAAAGTAGTTTTATGCTGTTGAATCTAATAATTAAAAAATCGGAGTTGTGTATTATATATTGTTTTTTTAATTTTCATTTTTTTTCTAGCACTTTATTGTGTTTTACAAAAGTATCAGTGCACGATGGACTGGAAACACAAGAACAGAGGAGCCTGCTTCTGGGTGGTGAATCTCCGGGAGCCTGCATTCCAGCTCCAGGAGTAGAGCATGGGGGTGGGAAGGGGCATTGGCTCAGGGACCACCTGGGGCCAGTCGCAGCTCAGCTACTGAGCGGCCTCATTTTTTTATTTGCAAAATGGAGAGAGCACTTTATGAAACTATTTTAAAGAACCTAGCTTTTTTTTTTTTTTTTTTTTTTTTTTTTTTTGCTGTGCGCGGGCCTCTCACTGTTGTGGCCTCTCCCACTGCGGAGCCCCAGACGCGCAGGCCCAGCGGCCATGGCCCACGGGCCCAGCTGCTCCGCGGCATGTGGGATCTTCCCAGACCGGGGCGCGAACCCGTGTCCCCTGCATCGGCAGGCGGACTCTCAACCACTGCGCCACCAGGGAAGCCCAAGAACCTAGCTTTTGTAGGTGAGCAAACAACACTCCTTGTCTTTCCTTCCTCTCTTACCTCGGTAATCCTGCACTTACTGTCTGTTCCCTCTGCTGTAGGGTGAGGATAGGGTAGAAGGAGCCTTTGGGGTCTGGGCCTAGTATGCCCCTGCCCTGCTGGACCCTAGGGGAGCTGCCTTTGGCTCTCCAGAACTCGGTGTGACCAGAAAGCCAGTAACTGGCTAGAGCATCCTCCTGCTTTGGTGACAAGCGATCACTTAGTTGGGGATCTGAGGTGTGTGTTGTGGAAGACAGGGTCCCTAACGGTGAACCCGTTGCCTGCCTCCTCTTTGCTGCAGCTGCCGACATGCTGCCCCCGCCCACAGAGCAGGCCCTGAATGCCCTGCTGGCTCGCAAGGAGGAGGAGTGGCGAGCACTGCAGGCCCAGCACTCCCAGATGCAGGAGGCAGCCCTGCAGGACGCTCAGCGCCAGCTGGAGGAGGCGCAGGGGAAGCTGCGACGCCTGCGGGAGGACTTTGTCTACAACCTGCAGGTGCTGGAGGAGCGGGACCGGGAGCTGGAGCGCTACGACGCTGCGTTTGCCCAGGCCCGTGGGCTGGAGGAGGCCAGGCAGGCCGAGGTGAGCGAGCTCAAGATCGAGGTGGCCAAGCTGAGGCAGGCGCTGGCCAGCGAGGCCCGGCGGGTGGAGGATCTGCAGCAGCAGTCCCAGCAGAGGCTGCAGGAACACCGCCTAGAGCTGGAGCGGGTCCACAGGTGAGGGCCAGCGGACCCCACTCCCCGACCCTCCACACGCCTCTCGCCCCACAGCGCTGCCCGGCACCCACCTGTCCAGTGTTTGTCAAGGGAAGGCAGGCAGGGCCACACCTGGATGTCTTTTTCTGGGTCCCAGTGTGGCTGAAATTAGTGGAGATTGGTTCAACTATTTGGAATTTTTCCCCACGATTTACAAATCTATATCATTATAATAAAACATGTTTGAGTTTATGATGATTTTAATGGTGTGGAATATATATTAAATTCAAAACTAAGTGAGCTGACTTGAAGCAAGTTGACTGAGACCCTGAAGCTGCCATCAAGCTTGTGGGCTCCGCTCACGGCGAGAAGGGAGGTCAGGCCTCAGCTGCGCACTCTGCTGCAGCCTTGAAGTGCTGTACACTGTTTTGTGAAGTGTCTCCTCAGGTCTTCTGCCCGTTCTTTTTCACCAAATTGGGGACATTTTCAACCGTTATTTCTTCAAGTACATTTTTGGCCCCACCCTCTTTTTCATTCCATTCTGGGACTGCAGTGATGACGATGTGAGTGTTACATCTTTTGTTATCCCATCGGTCTCTGAGGCTCTGCTTACTTTTTTCAGTCTATTTCTTTCTATTAACAGGTCAGGTAACTTTTGTTTTTCACTGGTTCTTTTCTCTAACATGTTCATTCGGCCTTTGAGCCCAACCAGGATGTCCTTTGTTTTGGTTATTGTACTTTTCAGTTCTCAAATTTCCATTTGATTCTTTGTTACTTTTTCTTTGCTGAGAGTTTCTGATTTCCATTTGTCCTAAAACTGTGCAAAATTGCTTGTTGAAGCATCTTTATGACGGCTGCTTTAAAATCCTTGTTAGATCATTTCAGCATCTGCGTCATCTTGGTATTAACATCTGTAGATTGTGTTTTCTCATTCAGGTAGAGATTTTCCTGGTTCTTGGTATGACTGGTGACTTTTGATTGTATCTTAGGCACTTTGGGAATTGTGTTGTGAGAGCCTGGATCCCACATCACGTACTCTTCTGCAGGCAGTCACCTGTCCAGGTGCAGCATGTAGGTCCCCTGGGTCCTGCCAAAGCCACCCCCGCAAAAGTGAAGCATCACCTGTCACCTCATGTTTGCAAAGGTGACCCTGCAAATGTGTAGTTTGGGGACTATTCAGTGTTACTTTTCTTAACACTGCACTTTTCACACAGTGACAGGAACAGTGAGCTGGACCAGCAGCGGGAGCAGTATGGGAACCTGAAGTGGAAGCTGGAAAGGAAGCTGGAGGAGCTGGACAGCGAACTTGCCCTGCAGCGGCAGGTAGGGCGTGGGGTCCGGTTCCTCCTCAGGTGCCCACCCTGCCCACCCTCTCAGAAACCAAAATTGTACCAGGTGGAGAAGACCATTTTGTTAGCTGTATGGTATCCTGGGATCGCAGATTTCCACTTTATGGTGATCTGTGGGGAAGTGTGATGGGGGTGTCTAAATCTTCCTCTGTAGTAACTCCCCCAGGGTTCTCTTTCCTTGGAAATAGAATAAACATTTCCTCCTTTATTTATTTTAGAAAAAAGTATTATGAAGTTAAAGTTTGAGTTATTTACTGTGGAAAAGAGCTGGGAGCTCAAGTTGTGATAATTGTACTTCTGTCAACATAGCAGTAAATAAGTTTAAATATAGATGTATCAGCTGACAGGTGACACTTAAACCTGTCACCAAAATTTCTCCTTGGTGTCATTGAAACTCAGCCTACATGTCTGAGAGACTCAGCTATGTTGGGGTTTGGGTGAAGGATATCCTTCACACTTATGGCCGAAGTCCATGTCTGGCAGGGCTGCATGTAGGCAAGGACGTGGGTACCCTTGGTCTCCTTCCAGGATGTGCCAGGCTTGTGTCATCGTAGCAGTGACTGGTGTTTATGGAAACTGCCTCATGGAGCTCCTTATGCGTGTGTGTGAATTTATCCTCTCAACACAACAGAGACACAATTTTGTTCTACATTTTCCAGATAGGGGAAACATTAAGTAACCTGCCCAAGATCCCCCTCAGTAAGTGGCAGAGCCGTAATTTGAGTCCAAGACACTTCCAGTGCAAGAACTCTTAGGTACTGTCATCCTGCCACAGGATAACAACTCACGCCTTATTTTTATAAATTTATTTATTTTATTTATTTATTTTTGGCTGCACTGGGTCTTTGTTGCTGTGCACGGGCTTTCTCTAGTTGCGGCGAGCAGGGGCTACTCTTCATTGTGGTGCGCGGGCTTCTCTGCGGTGGCTTCTCTTGTTGCAGAGCACGGGCTCTAGGCGTGCAGGCTCAGTAGTTGTGGCTCGTGGGCTCTAGAGCGCAGGCTCAATAGTTGTGGCGCACGGACTTAGTTGCTTCACGGCATGTGGGATCTTCCCGGACCAGGGCTCGAACCCGTGTCCCCTGCATTGGCAGGCGGATTCTTAACCACTGAGCCACCAAGGAAGCCCACGCCTTATTTTTAGACTTGTGTCTGTGATATTGGAGAGGAGCTGGATCTAGAAGTCAACCTGTCTGTGTCCTCACTTCTGCCCTCCTTGGAGTGATGCTGACTGAGCCATTGAGCTCTGAACTAGGCCCCTAGTCTCTCCAGTGGATGTGCCACTGGGCAGATGTGAACGGTGTGCCTGCCTGTGCTGGTTCCTTTTTGGGCACTGGGGTCAGCAGTTCTCAAGGAGGACAGAGCTGTCAGCTGGCGGACTGAGGCCTGACTGCTGGGCCCTCTGTCCCACAGCATAGCGTCAGTGTCCTGAGATAGGACGGCATCCTGATGTGCTATACCCGTCAGGATGGAAGGCGCCCATGGACACAACTGTCCTTGTGACCGAGCTTTCAGGCACGGCCACATCTACCAACCATGGCTGGTGGCGGACGGGGCCCTGCCCTTTTCTTCCCCTCTTGGAAGCTTGAATTTTACTGTCCATGATGCCATCATCGCTTAGAACATTTGAAATTTCCTGCAGAGGACTTTCTTTTGGAGTCCTCAGGGACCAAAGAACTTTTTCCATTATGGGCAGGTTTGACTTTTGGAAACAGTCCAAGGTCACTGGGGCCTGAGCTGAGTGATCAAGACCAGGTATGACTCATCTAAGTCATGAGGTTTCCTCAAGTGGCATTGGAGTCCCTTCCAAAGAAGGAGTTTTGGAAGGGCTCTGGGCAGCGGTGGGAGTGTCCCAGTTAGCAGGACAGTCAGTGGCACTTGGAGGCAGCAGTGCCCTGGTGGGAGTTGTGGTCGCTGGGCTGGGTCTGTGGGTGGCTTCCCAGCCTGTCCACACTCAGAGCCCTTGCCGCGACTCAGGCTCGTTCAGGCTTTGAGCCCCTTTGTCCACAAGGAGGGCACCTCCAGATGGGAGTTTTTATACCAGCCCTGTCTCTGGAAGGAAGGAAACTTGACGTCTGGACTCTCCAGCACTGGGCTCCGTTCAGAGCTGCTGCCAGGAACTTGGGCAGCCTTTGCTGCCTAGCGTGGTTCAGGGACAGCTGGGGCTCACACCAGCCTCAGGACTCTGCTGCCCACGCCCGACTCTGTGACTGAAGAAAGGGCCTTATGTGCTCATCAGCTTTGTGGGCTTCCTTTGGGCTGGTTTCCCGTCTCCTTTTTCTGAAGATCTTTGTGTTCATTATTGACTTGTCAAAGGTAGAATTGATGCAATGGTAATAGTGATTTTTATTTTCAAAAAAGAAGTATAAGATGACGGGAGCTGAGTTTGTTTAATGTTTATTATGTCTGCAAGCTGTAGACTGTGGACTTAAGGTTTTTCACTGTTGGTTAGCAGTCACAGGATTAGACGCCACTGGAGGAGAAACAGTGATTTATTGATTTATTCATTTAACAAATAGACTTTGCCAGACACCATCCCGGGCCCTGGGGTTAGGGCTGAGCAGGGGCCCCACCTGCCCTGAGAGTGAGCTGGCCCTTGTGGGGGCACAGTGGGCACCCAAACATTACAGGCTCTGGCTGTAGCATCCTAGGGACATCACCTGCATAACACAGGGAGGCAGGGTGGATGGGGCTGATCTTTTAATAGGCAGGTCAGGAAGGGCACCCCGAGAAGAGGACTTGTGAGCCCGCCTTCAGTTGGCATCAGAGTTCAAGTTCAAGGGGGCTGAGATAGCGGCGGTGTAGGCCTCCCAGGCCCTCGTGAGGTTGGCCTTTGCTCCAAGTGAGGTGAGAAACTCTTGGGGGCTTGTGAGCCAAGTTGAGTTTTTAAAAGATCCTCTGTTGTTGGATTGAGGACAGCCTGTGGGACTGGGGAGGCAGGGAGACATGAGGCGGCTGCCACAGCCCCAGGTGAGAGGTGGGGGGCTTGAGCCACTGGCAGGTTCTGGATACACCTAGACGTCAGAGCCGGTGCACACGCTGATAGATGAGATGGGGTGAGAGGCAGACGCCAAGGACACATCTGGTTTGGGGCTGAGTGCCTGGCAGGATGACTTGCCCTGTTTGGAGATGGGGGAAACACGCAGGGAGGATGGGGAGGGCACTTGGTCGGGCTGCATAGGAAATGGCTTTTGCGCTCCCTGGTGGACAAACTGGGAGGTCATGATGGAGCAGGTGGGCCACAGGGTACAGAGCTAGGAACCTGGGGCATCCCCAAAGGGTGACTGTAGGCAGAGGAGCCATCCAGGCTGAGCCGGGGACATCGGCACAGGGCAGGAGCATGGGTGGGGGACTAGCAGGAGAGGGGCCCCCAGGAGCAAGAGAAGAGGGTGGTCGGGAGGCGGGCCTGAGCCGCGTGTCTCTGGGGTGAAGTGGGGATGGGGAGTGGACTTGGACGCAGCAGCGTGTTGCAGGGGTGGTGGCTTTCTTGTTTCCTCACCAAGGACACTAAATGCTTGCCCGCTGATCTGGGCCAGGCTCTGCCTGTGTGAGGGCTTCCTGCCCCCTGGCAGCCACAGACTGCAGAACTTTGAGCAGAAACCAAGTGCTTCAGTATTTTGTAGCGTTAGGAGTGAATCTCAATGATTTTCATATTCTGATCCCAACAAGGGTTACTCGTGTGACCCCTTATACTTCGTCTTGCTTCTCAAGGGATAAAAAAAGTATGTTTTCAGTTATACTTCTGCATCGTGTCTCTGGGGCCCCCCACCTTCCGAGGAGGGGGCGGGGGCTGCTATGGAGTTTATTGCAGGGCGGAGGCAGACGAGCCCATTCTTGCCAGGCGCGCGCAGGCTGGGTTCAGCCTTCCCCGACTCTTTCCTTCAGGGAGCTGAGTCTGTCCAAGTCTCTTCAAAAGCAGGGGCCTCATTACTTGGTCAGAAACCTGGAATCCTGCTAGTGTGCTGGGCTCTCCATGCGCTGTGCTTTCCAGGACGTGCATTTCAGTTTCACTCTGTCCCTCAGTGTGTGATTTCTGCATCTGTATCCAGACCTCCCGTCCATAGGGCACATCAGCCACGAGTGTCTGCTCTCCTGTCACCACTGTAAACAAGACGATAAAGGACTAAGGACAGTGAGAACCCACAGCAGTGATGGGAGCAGAAGGGCCTCAGCACACGGATGAGTGAGCCTGTGCTTTCCCGGGGAGGGCGGGGGCAGCAGCTGGGGAGCGGGCCTGTGGGAAACGCAGCCAGTGGGCCTACAGACTCAGAGAGGTTAGGCCTTGGGACACCAGGGGCCATGCATGTGCAGGTGGATGTCTGTATTTGGAGCCACCATATACAGCGAACCACCTGCCTCACGTGCAGATGGAGTGCCCAGCAGCCAGGAGCTCCTTCCCCAGGCAGAAGCTCAGCAGTTTTCTTTACAGAAATTGAACTACCCATGGGGAGAAGGAAGGCGGCTGTGTGGGCCCTGGTGTCTGCAGCGCAGATCTGACTTTAGGGAAGCAGCGCCCTCAGTCGGCTCTGCGAAGATTCAACTTAATTGAGCTGTAATTTCCTACAGTCCCTGCACCCATGTTAAACGTGCAGTTCAACAAGGTTTAACACAGGTACTTGAGTAACAACCAGGATAGTACTTTCCTGCCACCCAAAGTTCCACGTGCTTCTTTGCAGTCAGGGAGCAGCACCCCTGGCACCGGCCCCACTGGCCTGCTTCCTGCTGCTTGCGGCGAGATCTGTCTTTCGGAGAGTCCTGTGAGAATGGAGCTGCGCACTGTGCCCTTTTTTGTCTGGCTTCTCTCTCACCATGACGTGTCTGAGGCTCATAGTTGTCATGTAGTTGGCAGCTTGTTCTTTCTCAGTGCCAGTGCTGTGTTGTGTGGAGGTGCTAGTCTCTTTCCATTCTCTGTCAACGCACATTTTGGACACTTGGGTCGTTTCCAGTTTGGGGCCATTTCGAATGAGGCTGCTGTGAGCATTCTTGGCCGTCTTTGAATGGACACGGGCTACATGACCAGGAGTGCAATTTCTGTGATGTGTACTACGGCTGTGAGTAACTTTTTAAGAAACTGCCGAGCTGTCCTCCAAGATGGTTGTAGCGTCACATTCCACCAGCAGCAGATTAGAGTTCTAGTCGCTCCCCGTCCTTGTTAGCACTTAGTGTTGTCAGTCTTTTTCTCTTTAGCCAGTCTAGTGGTTGTGTAGTAGTGTCTTACTGTGGTTTTAATGTGCTTATCCCTGATGATCAAAGATTAAGCATCTTTTCACTTGCTTACTGGCCATTCATATATCCTTTGTGAAGTGTCTCTTCAGCTTTCTTGTACTTAAAAAAATTGGGTTATTTGTCTTTACATTACTGATATGTAAGAGTTCTGCATATATATTCCAGAAACAAGTTCTTAGGTATATATATTTCAAATGTTTTCTTCCAGGACTTCCCTGGCAATCCAGCAGTTAAGACTCTGCGCTTCCACTGCAGGGGGCATGGGTTTGATCTCTGGTCGGGGAGCTAGGATCCTGCATGCCACGCGGTGTGGCCAAAAAAAAATTTTTTTCTCCCGTTCTGTGCCTTTCCTTTCCCTTTTTGTAACAGTCTCTTATGAATAGCAGGTGTTTTTTTAATTTCAACATCCCAGTGAACTTTTTATTGCCTCATTCCTGAGTAGGAGCATATAACTGAGGCAGGATTACAAGACAGAGAAATGCCAGCAACATAAGAAGAGGCCCAGAGGAACAGGGAAAATGACCCTGGGTAGGACAGAGACGATTCCCGAGACAGTGATCCTAAAACCCGCCACCGTGTGATCAGCTCAGGTGTAAGGCAGCACGGTGGGCCGTGTGGCCCTGCCCGTGCTAGGCTTGCCGGGGCATGGCGATTGGTTGTCCGTGTTGGTCTAGCTGTCTGCCTGGGCAGCTCTGGTGCTGCGGCCTCCTGGGCTCCGCAGGCGGTGCCAGTGATCCTGCAACTCCTGTCAGCCCAGTCCTGGAGGATGGGCCGGGAGAGTAGCCACCTTCCTGCTCCCAGGGCAGGAGCTGGCTATTTCCCTCATTCCCATGAGGCTCTTCCTGTGTCGTTCCCCCAAGGTGGGAACTTGAGCCTCTTGGGAATGGGGTGGGGACAGAGCCAGCCACTCATCACATTATATCTTCATTTTCAGTGTCTAAGAGCACATTGTGGGGGCTTCCTGAGATCAGTGCCCCCAGGGGTTTGTTTTGCATCCATAACTCAGGATGCCAGGAGGAAGGGCCAATCATAACAAGAAAGAATTTTGACAATTAAAAGTATGTATAGAGCCTTCCCTGGCCATCGTTAAGACTCCACACTTCCAATGAGGGGGCCCGGGTTCAATCCCTGGTCAGGGAACTAGATCCCCCATGCCATGACTAAGAGCCTGTATGCAGCAACAGGGATCCCGCGTGCCTCAGCTAAGACCCAGCGCAGCCAAATAAATAAATAAATATTTAAAATTAAAAAAATAAAAGTATATATAAAGAAATTAATTCAGAAAATGGAAAAAAGACACAGAAAATCCAAGAGAGAATTTAAGAGACATGGAGGATAAATCCAGGATTCATCTAACAATACAAATTCCAGAAACATACAGCAGAGAACAGGAAGGTATCAGATTATCAAGTAAGCATCATAGCCACTTCTCAGGGTGGGGACTTCAGACTAAAAGGCCCCCAGAGCCATGAGCAAAAGGGGTTTCAGAGGAACAAAGAGGAGATGCTGCAAACGTCCAGAAAACCTGTAGAGTCAGAGCCTGGCCCAAACTCCTCAACCTCAGCTTGGGACAGAAGATACGTGACAAGGTCTTCGGCACTGTTGGGGGAAGAGATGTAAGCCCGGGGCCCTGGGGTGTGAGGGTGTGGATGCCTCTGGCTGGGTGACAGCCTTTCAGGAAGTTACTGGAGTGTAACTACTGAGCAAGCCCTGTGCAGCGTGGCTATGTGTCGGGGCCGAGGGGTCAGCCTTTAGCTGCCTCTGTTTCCCTTTTGAGTTCAGAACATTGAGAACCAAGAGATGGAGTGGAGGAGGCTGCCAGGAGAATGGGGGCCTGAGCTGGGCGGGTCCCCAGGACTGGGTGGCCCCAGTCACAGGGCTGAGCTGGCAGCCTCACCTGGAAGCCCATGAGTCTGAGAGAGGTGGGGCAGGGAAACCGAGGGCAGCTCCCACACCAGCCCCCTGGGAGAAGGCCGAGTCGGGCAGGGGATCGTGGGACTCTCACCCTGATGGGAGCTCTTGAGGTGGGGAAGGAGGTCCTTTCCAGCAGGAGTAAGCCAGGAGAGAGGAAGAGGGCATCCAGGAACACCGAGGACCGCCTAGGGGAGCTGTGAGTCTCAGGCCTGGATGCTGGCTGTGAGGCAGCCCAGGGAGAGAACAGATGGGCATGGAGACTGAGGGCCCTGGAGGGACCACACCCCAGGAGAAGAAAGGGTCACATTATGGGGTGTGTCCTGGGAAGCAGACACCACTCAGGAAACAGGAGAGAACCAGACAGAGAAGGGGCGGCGAGAGAGACAGAGAATTGAAAACTCTGGGAGAAATGATGAGATGGGAACCGTCATAATCGTTCGCTGTTGGGTGAGCCGTGAATCACTTTATTGTTGTAATAGTTTATGGACTTTTGGGTTCAGCCCGTGGGTGAGGCTTACACAGCCAGGGGAGTGGAGCCGTGAGCCCCGTGTGGGGGGTGTGGGGTGGGGCTGCTCAGGAAGCCGGCAGGTAGCGCGGAGGGAAGAGTGGCGTGTTGTTTAGAGACATAGACGGAACCAACAACAGAACTGCTGGGAGGGGTGCTTCTGAGCTCATGGGCCTAGTGTCTCTCCTTGTGAGTCCGCTAGCAGCTCTGTCTGTGCAGAGCAAAACCCCACAGGACCACAGGGGAGAGGGACAAACCTACGTCCACGGTGGGAACAAGAGCCCTCCGATGTCCTTCATGCGGCGTTACAGGCCCCAGTCCCACTCTTGACCTCGTCCTCCACTAGGTCCTCTGCGTCCCTCCTGCCCTCAGCGTGCCTGTGGGTCTTTGCTGGCCCCACCATGCTCTTTTCACCACCAGCTCTTTTTGTTCTAGGAGCTGCTCCAGGAGTTTGAATCTGAAATGCAAAAGCGGGAGCACGCGTTCCGCCTGCAGGCTGACAGCATGAGCAATGTGGTCCTAGCACACGAGCTCAAGGTAGAGGGCGCCCTCGGACTGTGATCATTTCCTCAGCAGAAGTGAGAAGCCCCTTGTGGGTTAGGGTTCACATGAAGGCCTCCCGCTTTGTACGTGGGCCTCAGTCTCTGCCACACAGAGTTGGGGGTGACATGCAGGTGACATGCTTGCCACTGTGCCTGCCAGGGTGCCGGTCAGGAGTGATGGCCACTCTGCCCAGCCAGAGGAACGCTGGTGCCACCAGTCCAGGTCTAGTTACCTGACCTTGAGGAAGTGCCTCCCTCAGGAGAAACCACCACCCCGCAAACTCTGTCCTTGGCCTGTGTACTCCTGTGACACCTTGGAATGGGCCTGTGAGGAGGTGCCACTCATCCCCCTATTTTCAGGAGGAGGCCTGTCTGCAGTTGGTGCTCCCAGCCGTGGTGCTGGCTCCCCTCCGTGAACAGGACTTCTCTAAAGCACTGGCCCCGACATGGCCAGGGCACACATGAGGAGCACGCATGCCTGGCCTTTAGCACCGAGACAGGGAGCAGCCTGGAGGGGAGGGGGAGTTGTGCCGGGGACAGTGAAGCAGGGTTGATGCCTGGGCCGGCCCTGCTGCCCCAGCTGGTCACATCTGGGCAGCATCCAGCCAGGTGTTAGTAGTAAGATCGACACCCTGCACTAGTGGTCAGCAAGGTCCCTCCTCTAGGCTGCCAGCCTCCCCACAGGGCTGCAGTCCAGGGGGCAGCACCAGGCCCTGCCTGACCCCTCTGTGGGAGTCTCCCTGACTTACCCCTGGAGGAATGCACCCAGGGCCAGTAGGACCTTGGGGCTGGGGCTGCCTCACAGTGACACCCCCCCACCCCCCCGCCCCGAGGCCACTTTGAGGACTTCTGAGCACCAGGGGAGAGAGGGCAGGTGGGACGTGCAGGGCCAACCTGTGCCTCACAGTGCAGTGGGTACTCCTGTCAGAGTACCCTGTACTCTGGTCCCCTGAACACCTGCCCCTTGAGGGCATCACAGGTTATACACAGAACTGATTTGGGGGCAGCAGTACCATCATCTCTGCATTATAGTCGAGGAAGCTGAGGCCCAGAGAAGCTATTTAAAAATTGAGTGTGTGGCTGGGGTTTGAGTGGGGTCACTCAGCAGGGAGCCACGTTCATACAGCCTCCATCTGGCTGTGTGATTCCAGTATTCAAATCATGCCCGAGTCGGGTGCTGGGGTACGACAGGGACTCACACGGGGCCTGTGCTCTCAAGGTTGTGGGAGCACGTGAGGAGACACACTGTTTTATTGCTTCTCAAATTCCAGTTTTCCTTCTCTCCCAGTTCTGATAAAATGGTAAGGCTTACCTCTAGCACCTCAGTTTGTTCCACTTATATCCTTATTTTGAATTCTTCTCTTTCAAAGATTAAACTGCTGAACAAAGAGCTCGTGGCCCTGAGAGAGGCCGGGGTGAAGGCTGCGGAGTCCCTGCAGAGCGCCGAGGCGGTGAATGCAGAGCTGGAGGATAGGCTGCAGCACAGAGACTGGGAACTCAGGGACCTGGCTGCCGTGAAGGACGCCCGGTGCGGAGTCTCGCCATCTCCCTGTGGGCAGATGTGGCCAATGCGCCCGACGTTTAGCATGGTCTGGACTCCAGCCTGGAGGCATCTGCCTGTTCTGGCTTATTCCAGGCCGGCTTTGCTGTAGCCCCTTACCTGCTTTTTCCACTAATATTTGATTCTTTCAGGATAAAAGACTTAGAGGGTAAACTTCACTCTGTGCAGCTCACCAAGAAAAAAGAAGAGGAGATGTTTAGGAGGAAGTGAGTGTTTCTGGCTCCAGTGTCAGCATAGGGAAAACGTTCCCTGATCCCCTTGGGGGCAGACCCAGCCCTTCTGTGGGACTGTTAGCTGGGTCAGGCTTGCTCTTCCAGGGTCTCCCCTCACTTTTCAGTTCAAATTAGTATATTTGTGTGTGTTTGGAGGAATATCATCAAAACACTGAGAATTACAGAACACGCCTTGTAAAATGAATTGCTGAAAGCCGTCCAGATTGACACTTAGAGCCAATATACTTGACCCGTTGAAACAAGTCTTGGGAGCAGGGTGCACACAGATGCTCTGTGTCCTCACACACTGCGTGACCCCACAGAGTCATGTGCAGCCCAGGTGGCATTATTTACGGAGCCAAGGTGATAAGAAACCTGTGTTCCTTGGTTCTTTGGTGTGGGCTGGGGTGTCCATGCCCTGGAGTCTTGGTGTTTGCCTTTTGAAAGTAACTAACCAATGGTCACAGAATAATGCAGTGCAGAAATAACTCCCTCCCTTCACTGGCTGTCATGATCAAACTTTTGTTGTGATTTGGTGAAAAAGAAAGGTATATCCTGCCAGAAACTAATGCGTACAGCAACTGGCATGAGTATAGTTTTTTGCTACTAGAAGGTGGAAAATACTGAACAGTTTGCAAGGTGAGTAAGATGAAGATTGATTGTAATTGGAATGAAAAGTACGGCATGCGACTTGATTAAATTTAAAGGCTTAACCATCTCATTGAACAATGCTGATGGAATCTGAAAGAAATCATGTAGAATTATATTTTTTAGGGCTTTTTACTCTTCATCGAAACCAAATAGAATAAAAGCATAAAACATCATGGACGTCATGTCAGCTGTCAGCGACACCCAACAGTGTATTTTCGAGACGAATGTTCTGTTGACAGAGTTCCAGTAGGTTTGGCATCTCTAGCAAAGACAGACATGCAGCCTGCATCCCGCGGCCCCTAGTTCTGGGAAGCCTCAGATTCCGGGTTGAAAGCAGCCCAGCAAATGGGGTAGCTGCGAGGCCAGGGCAGTTTACACCGGCCTTCTGCTTCCCGAGTCGGTACGGCTTCTGCTGGTGGCCCTTCACTGAGACACATGTTCTGGGGTCTTTCTCCCATGGACTATGAGCTTGGGAGGGCTGGGGCCTGGCATCTGAGAATCTCTCAGTCAGTGTTTTCGTGTGAGGAGTGAGGAGCAGAGAGAAGCGGGCAGAAGTGCCCTTCAGGAGGACACGCGTGCAGCACTCCTGCAGAATGAGGAAGCTTCTAGGCTCGGGGTCCTGAGCAGGGCCTATGTGAGCCACTGGGGACCTCGCTGTGTTTCAGGCATGAGGAGCTGGACCGTCTGGCCAGAGAGAGGGACACGGTGCTGATGGCAGCGAAGAGCGCCCATGTGGAGCAGCTGCAGGCGGTAGAGGCCAGGGCCCTGGAGCTGCAGGTGCACTGCGAGAACCTCGAGGTGCGGCTCCGCAGGGCTGAGTGGAGGCAGGCGGACACCACCAAGGAGAAGGACGCCGCCATTGACAAGTGAGCTGAGGCTGAGGGCCCGGCTGCCCAGCTAAACTGTTTCAGATGAAGGGAAGTGGGCACAGGCTGTTGGGAGTCACTCCTGCAGCTCCCGTCACTGTTGTTGTTTTAATTTTATTTATTTATTTATGGCTGCATTGGGTCTTCGTTGCTGCGTGTGGGCTTTCTCTAGTTGCGGCGAGCGGGAGCTACTCTTTGTTGCAGTGCGCAGGCTTCTCATTGCCGTGGCTTCTCGTGCAGAGCACGGGCTCTAGGGTGCGTGGGCTTCAGTAGTGGTGGCTTGCGGGCTCAGTAGTTTGGCTTGTGGGCTCGAGCACACGCTCAGTAGTTGTGGCGCACGGGCTTAGTTGCTCCGCGGCACGTGGGATCTTCGCAGACCAGGGCTCGAACCCGTGTCCCCTGCATTGACAGGCGGATTCTTAACCACTGCGCCACCAGGGAAGCCCCTCCGTCACTGTTTTTAACCATTCTCGTTTTTCATTTTCTTTTATTTGAAAGTATGTGGTTAGTATATGTGGATGTATGTATGAATGTGTGCATTTATTTATTTGTGGTAAATACACATAGCATAAAATTTACCATCTTAGCCATTTTTAAGTTCAGTGGCATTAAGTACATTCACAGTTGTGCAACCATCACCGCATTCGTCTCCAGAACTCTTTTCTCTGTAAAACTAAAACTGCCCATTAAACAGTAACTCCCCATCCCCCTCTCCCAGCCCCTGGCACCCACCATCCTACCTCATCATCCCATCATTGGGTTCCCAGGAGAAGTCTTAGTGTCTGTATCAATGTCTTTTCATTCCCAGACATACTCTTTATAAATCAGCAACAAAACGGCCCATGCTGTGAGCTTGCTGTCTCTTTGGGCCTATTTGTGATAGTTTTCCTGAGACCATTGGTTTGTGGATGGCAGAGTAGAGAAATGATGACCTGAGACAGTGTTGTGAGAACCGTGTGTGTCTGTGCAGGTGTATAACCTATCACATGGAATATGATGCACTTTAACCTCCTAGTACCCAGAGGTAAGATGCAAAAAGAAATAGGTGAAATTAACTCCAGGGGACTTCCCTGGTGGTCCAGTGGTTGAGATTCCACGCTCCCAATGATCGGGTTCAATTCCTGGTCAGGGAACTAGATCCCACATACTGCAACTAAGAGTTCACATGATGCAGCTAAAGATCCTGCGTGCCGCAACTAAAAATATCCCGCATGCTACAGCTAAGACCCGGCACAGCCAAATAAATAAATATTTTAAGAAAGAAAAAGAAAAAAAAGAAATTAACTCCAATAACATTATATCTAACTCAGTATACAGTAAGTCCCTACATATGGATGAGTTCCGTTCCGAGTACACGTTCCTAAGTCCAATTTGTTCATGAGTCCAACAAAGTTAGCCTAGGTACCCAACTAACACAATAGGCTATATAGTATTGTACTGTAATAGGTTTATAATACTTTTCACACAAATAATACATAAAAAACACACAAACACAAAAAATAAAACATTTTTAATCTTATAGTATGGTACCTTGAAAAGTACAGTAGTACAGTACAACAGCTGGCATACAGGGGCTGGCATCAAGTGAATAGGCAAGAACAGTTACTGACTGGAGGAGGGAGATGAGGTGGGAGGCGGTAGAGCTGAAGAATTGTCAGCAATTGGAGATGGAGGGCAAGCTGCAATTTCATCTACACCTGACCTTAATGGCACAGGTTCTGGTTCCTTGCTGGATTCAATTCTATCTACCCTCTTATAGAAACGACCCAGTGATGTCTGGGTAGTAGCTCTTCTTTTCTCGTCATAGATGACATCGTAGCACTGGATTGCATTCTGAACGGCTGCTGCAACCTTCGTATACCGTTCTACATTTGGGTCCTGTGCCTCAAATACTAACAGTGCCTCCTCAAAGAAAATCCCTTGCCATTTCCTGCGTCGTGAATGTCTTCAATTCTTCAGTTACTTCTTCATCTTCGTGTCTCTCTTCGTCCTTTCTCTGGGTCTCCAATTCCATCAGGTCTTCATTAGTAAGCTCCATGTTCACATCTTTGAAACTTCGCAACTTGAAGGTTCATATGTAGGGGACTTACTTTAACCAAAATGCCATCTTGTTGCATATCATTAATAAGTAATCAATATAAAGCTATTAATGAAGAAGGATGACTAGCCTGAAAATAATATTATTGAGATATTTTGCATTTTTTGGTGCTAAGTTTTGAAGGCACATCTCAATTCAGATTGGCCACATGCCTGGGAGCCCCTTGTGGCCCGTGGCCCAGTGCTGGGCAGCACCGGTCTGAATGCTGGTCGGGGGCCAGGACTCAATGAGGGCGAGCTCTCTGCTCTCCAGAACACAGGCCTGCTTGTGCTGGCTTGGTCTTGGCAAAGTGGAGCAGGAACCAGGGTCCCATTCATGGACACATGCAAAGCCCCTGCTGTGTGCAGATCATCTCGTGGGAATTCGTTAGAATTAAAAATATGGTTCTCGAGCTCCAGCACCTTCTCTTATAGTTGGGGAAGCCCAACACACATGGAATCACGAAGGATCAGATCAGGGACTGTAATGGGAAGCTCAAATTGGATGTCCTGCTTGACGTCTGAGGCCTGGGCAGTCGACTTCCCAGGGCCGCCAGCTGCTCCCCTTTCCCACCTGGAAAATCAGATAAGGTCCAGTTACAAAGTACCTCCTAGCCGATATCCTTCGGCCTCGGAGCAGAGTCGCCAATGAGTGGGTAGAGGGGAAGGAGTGCTTTGGAATTCCAGGGTAGGCCAGGCATCTCGTGTCCTTTCGTCTTCCAGCGACACACAGATCGGAGGAGAGCCTTTCATTTCCCTCTGTCACATCAGACATGGGGCACTCGAGGCTCCAGGGCTAAGTGTCTGGTGGGGCACAGCCAGGGTGAAGCCCGGATGCTGTGAGCAACCAGCCCACCCGCACACACTTCCCCGCATGGACTTGGCTCCAGGTCGGTGCCTGGGTTGGGGGCCAGCTTTGTCACAGGTTCCTGGGCCCCCACCTGCTACTTTCTCACCCCGACAACTACATGGGACCAGAGCAGGTGCCACCCCAGAGAGAGAGTGCTGGGCAGACCCGGAGGGGAGCAGCTCCAGCCCCCATTCTGGCACCAGCACTGTGTCTTAGCTGGACAAGTTCTGCAGTTTCCAACTTTTTGTGGCCCTTTGTGATATTAGGATGAGCTTAGTTAAGAGTCAGTATGACTCTGGACATATTGTGCTAGAAGTAATTTGTTTAAATTATATGGGCTTCCCTGGTGGCGCAGTGGTTAAGAATCCGCCTGCCAATGCAGGGGACACGGGTTCGAGCCCTGGTCCAGGATGATAACACATGCCACAGAGCAACTAAGCCCGTGAGCCACAACTACTGAGCCTGCACTCTAGAGCCCACAAGCCACAACTACTGAGCCTGCACTCTAGAGCCCACAAGCCACAACTACTGAGCCCATGCGCTGCATCTACTGAAGCCCACACGCTCTAGAGCCCGTGATCCGCAACAAGAGAAGCCACTGCAATGAGAAGCCTGCACACCGCAATGAAGAGTAGCCCCCCTCGCCGCAACTAGAGAAAGCCCACGTGCAGCAACAGCCAAAAATAATAAATAAATAAAAATAAATAATTTTTTTTTAAAACTTAAAAAATATATAAAGAAAAATGACCAAAAAACAAAACAAAACAAAAAAAGAAAAATGACCTTTTCCCATAGCTAAGACTAATGCTGGAAATTTCATACTTGAAATGTCTTAATCCTTTGAAAATGTGACACTTTTATTACATGATGTTTCCAGGCAGGTTCAAAGAGGGTGCATTTTCCTAAGTTAGCAATGGAGCTGAAGAATCCTAATGCTTTACTGAGCAGCATGGCTTTCTTCTGGGCTGTGGGGTTTTGTACATTTTCCCATAGTCATTCCCCTTCTTCATTCCCACCTTGGTCTTTAAAGCGTTTTCCCAAATGGGTTTCGCTGCAGTCTCTTGTGAAAAGAGAACTCTGCTACTCAGAATGATAATAATCCTGGCTCAAACGCGAGCCATCCCCTGCCTGCTGCAGCGGGGTTGGCCTGTGAGCAGAGAGCCCCACCCTGTCACCGCATGTCTGTGCGGGGCGTTGCGAGGGCGCTGGGGTGCCCGAGAGAATGGAGAGCACGGGGCTCCTCAGGCAGGGACTCGGGCCTGGGGGTCACAGGCAGGGGCAGGAAGAGCAGAGCAGAGCCATCTCGTTCCTGTGGGGTCAGCTGACCCTTTGCCGAGGGCATTTTAACCCAGCAGTCCCCAACCTTTTTGGCACCAGGGACCATTTTCGTGGAAGACAGTTTTTCCACGGATGGGAGTGGGGTGGGGGGTGGTGATGGTTCAGGCGGTAATGCGAGCAATGGGGAGCGGCGGATGAAGCTTCGCTGGGTTGCCTGCCACTCACCTCCTGCTGTGCGGCCCGGTTCCTAACAGGCCAGGGTAACCAGCACAGCAGGGACTTCCCTGGTGGCTCAGTAGCTAAGACTCTCTGCTCCCAGTGCAGGGGGCCTGGGTTCAATCCCTGGTCAGGGAACTAGATCCCACATGCATGCCCCAACTAAGAGTTCACGTGCCACAACTAAAGAGCCCACCAGCCGCAGCTAAGACTTGGTGCAACCAGATAAATAAATTAAATAAAAATAAATATATATATTTTAATTATTAAAAAACCCCAGCACACTGGCCTTGGCGTTTAGGCCTGTTTAAGCTGAAATGTTTAAAGAAGCTTCCCACGAGGGAACCTGCTCCCTTCTCCTTCCCATCTCTGCCCATGTTTGGATGGAGCTTTGTCTGAGGCTCAGGGCAGCTGCACTCGGGTCTTTGATCCAAGGCCTTATCGGCTGACAGCCATTTGCCTTCCCACAGCTCGTCCACCTCTGCACCACACTCCGTGGCCCACCTGTGGGCCTGTGGCTCTGGGCAGTGGCCAGTGAGTGATCACAGCATTTACCCCACAGCATGCTGAGTGCAGATTAAGAGGGAAACAGGCCAGGGCTGCAAATAGGGTGACCACCCTGTGAGCTTTGTGTGGTTAATGTCATGGCTACTCTAGTCAATATCTTTAGGTGTTTTTTTCTAAAGTTTTTCTTCTTGGGAGATTTATCAAATTTTTGGTGATTCTACCAAGGAATGTAAAGGGTTTCTATAGAACCTTATCTTGCTGTTCAATTTGGAGATATGTGTTGAACGTCTCTATGTGGAAGGGCTATGCTGGTCCTGGCAAGGGGTGCCCAGGTGAGTCAGATGGCACTGGTTCAAAACCGTTGGCTTGGGCTTCCCTGGTGGCACAGTGGTTGAGAGTCCGCCTGCCAATGCAGGGGACGCGGGTTCGTGCCCCGGTCCGGGAGGATCCCACATGCTGTGGAGCGGCTGGGCCCGTGAGCCATGGCCGCTGGGCCTGCACATCCGGAGCCTGTGCTCCGCAA